ATCATGTCAAGGCCCGTGATGAAGACGTGAGATATGCCATGGAGACAGCTTTTCCAGTACGTACGACGGCGGCGGGACGGCAGCCTCGGCAATCGCGGATTAGCGTCAGCACACTCAGTATGCAGGATGAGCGAAGCATATACTTACGCCTGGCTCGCAAGATCGGGCTGCAGGTGCACAGAGCCATGGTACGTATCATCTTTTTCGCCTGGTGGCTGCATTTTGCAACAACAGAGGCAGATCATGAGAGGCCACGTGGCCCTAGCAAGAGAGCGTGCATGCCCTGCTTGCCTACGCTAGTACGACGCACGCGGAAGCTACAGCAGCCATGTCTCCTCCTCCCGCAAGGAAGGGCATCGCTTTTGTGCCGAGAAGCCGACATACGCACGCAGCAAGGCAACGGGGGAGGAATAGGCAAGCCTCGCTTATTTGCGCACTGGGGTCACCAAGGGGTCTCGGCCATCGTGCTACCTCCCCCTTTCAAACCGCGGGAGTATCAAACGGGGCATGGGATGGAGACGGGAATATGGGACTACATTACCTGCTACTGGGACTATGCGCGTGGAGTGCGGGCTTGTGTCCTAGCACATCGTGAACTGCTCCTTTGTCACACTGCCCTATTGATCAGACATGCGACTATGCAGGATGCCACGCAGCGCTACAACAACCTTGTGCAGGGAGTTTCGGATGCATGGGGCCGCAGGCAGTACGATCAGGTTTTTGCCAAACTACGTGCTATGGGAATAGGTTCGTCTAAGAAGGTAAACGCTAGAGCCCTACCCATCCTGGAGCTAGAGGATGGCAGCATGGCTGCCACCCATGAGGAAGCAGCAGATAGATGGCTCCGCCACTTTGCGGCGGAAGAGGTTGGAGTGGTAGTGCCAGTTGCCGACGCCAGCGCCTCTGCGCGAAGTGTCCCATCCCTTCCTCAGGATCTGACACATGACATCCCATATTAGGAAGTGTTTCTCCCCACCCTCTCCAACTGCCAGAGAGCTTGCCGCGCTGCCAAGCCCTCAGCTGCCAGCTTAGATGGATCCCAGGGGCCCTTCTCAGAAGTTTTGCCGCGGCCCTGGGAGCCCTGTTCCATCCTGTGGTGGTTAAAGCATGTACCCGCGTCGAGGAACCTTTGCAGTGGAAAAGGGGGGCAATTACTGGAACATTCGGAAGAAGAAAGCTACCCCTGCCATATGCAAGAACCATCGGTCTGTTATGATATCCTCCCAACCTGGGAAAAATGCCGACCACGACTGCGGGCGCCGCTTGCAGAAGCTCTCCCGGCATATGCAGGGGGCGCACAGTATGGGGGAATTGCGGGGAGAGGCGTTGACCTTGCAGCGCTTGCTATACGCTCCTTCCAGGAACTCGCACAGACGCTCAAGCTGTCAGCGCTCTTTTTCATATTAGACGCAGCCTCAGCTTTTTATCGTGCAGTGCGAGAGCTAGTCATGCAGTTGGGCACCTCAGATGCGGACCTACACAGCACACTACGAACGGCGGGGCTCCCACCTGGTGCCATTGAGGACCTCAAGGCTCATATTGCAGCACATCGCACACTACTGGGACAAGCGGGGATATCACGACACATACGCGCGCTCACAGCCTCCAGCTACTCAGGCAATTGGTTTTGGCACCCAGGAGCATCAGCAGTAGCCTTCTCGCTTGAAGGAGCTGTGCCAGGACAGCAGCTAAGCGATGTAGTTTTCAACTACGTCATGGCAGCATGTGTGAAGGAAGCTCAGCAGGGACTGCAGGAGCTGGAGCTAGACCTACGCATACCCATCTCATTACACGCTACCATGTCAGACATGATGCAGCAATCTCCCGACACTATGCGAGGAGGACTCGAGGTCGGCTTTTTTTCGATGATGGTGAGATTGTTGTTTTGGGAGCTGCCCTGCACCTGCTCGAAGCAGCGCCCAAAGTAGCTGCAGTGGTCGCCGCCAGCTATGTGAGAAGAGGCCTCAGGCTCAATTTCGCTGCAGGCAAGACGGAGGTGCTGTTTCAACTAAGAGGAGTTGGCGCCAAGCGTACCTAACGGGAGTTGTGGCTCGAACGGGAAGGCCGCTTCGAGATCCAATCAGAGCTTTTAGGACGCTTCACCCTGCTTGCGGTGAGGACATACCCGCACTTGGGCACACAGTTGGACGAATTGGGACCTATCGGGCCCGAGCTGGCCCATCGGGAAGCGTCTGTGCGCTCGTCTGGTACACTGCTACGTAGACGGGTCTTTGGCTCCCCTATTGGGCTCCCGCAACAGGCCACACTGCACTTCGTGGACACGCTTATTTTCGCGGGCCTCCTCTGCAATGCAGGCACATGGCCCGAGCTCACGGAAGCTCAGCACGCGCACCTCCAGCGCCTGATCATCAGCAAATACCGTCAGGTTCTGATGGCCCCTCAGAAGGACTCCGACGCAGACCCCGACAGGCTCATACTGGCACGGGTACGACGGGCGGATCTGCATGCAGTGCTTAGAGTACACAGCCTTCGCTTGCTGGGTCGCCTCGTACACCATGGCACACCTACGCTTCGCAGTCTACTCACGCATGTATACCGCAAGGCACACATACGGAAAAATACATGGTTACACAGAGTACTACAGGACTTGCAGTGGGTGCGAACCACCAACTGCTGACTTCGTGGCATGCCAGATCCAGTTGAGGATTTTCAGGCATGGGAAGTTCGAATATTGGAGTCTCTCCCAGCTTGGAAGAAAGTTTTACATGCCACCCTCGCTGCGCACGCACATGCAGCGGCAAGAGCAGCCCTAGCCGACAAGACGCAGCAGGATTTCTTTCAGCTTGTGCACCCGGCAGGAGTACCGATACCGATCACGAACGTGAATCCCCCTCTCCATCCCTCCCCGCAGGTGCAATATGACTTTCGATGCATGTGGTGTGATTATGTGGGTACGACAGCAAAGATCACACGACAGCACATTGTGCGCGTACATTACAGCCAGGTACAGGTGGTACCCAGGTTCATGGGGGAGGGGTCAGTATGCATGTCGTGCTCGATGGCTTTCTCCTCTCGGCGTCCTCTCAGGGATCACCTAGCCTTTGACGCTGCAGTGTGCCAGTTGGCCTACATTTTGCGCGGAGCCACGGTCCCCCCAGAGAGGGCAGAGGAACTGCGGCAAGCAGATCTCGACCAGCACGCGAAACAGCGCCGTGCAGGTCTAGGCAGGTGGAGAGCAGCATTCCCAGCGCACATACAATATCCAGTGGACTTGCTATACCCAGCAGCCATGTTTGCAGCAGCATTTTTCTCTGAGGGTGAAGCCAAGGAACTTCTCCGTGCGCATGCATATGAAATAGGGCCTACTGCACTATCAGCATATACAGCTCTCTTTTCTGACCCACTCCAGTCAGCCGAGCAGGAAAGGCTTACATACAGTGACAGACTACAGATATCGACCGCAAGACTTCAGTGGAACAGCTGCCGAGTGGATACCCATACGAGTGCACAGGAAGGAGGTTTTTGTGCTCAACCTTTTCTCAGGCAGGCGCTGCGAAGGCGACGCGCAGGCCTGGGTTGAGCAAGAGCAGGTTGCGACAGCCTACCATATTATCATGCTCTCAGTGGACATTGCCATTGACACAGATATGGCGGACCTCATGCGCGCAGATACTATCACACAGTGGGGTGAACACATCTTGGCCAGACGGGTGTGGAACACAGGGGGGGGGCCCCCTTGTGAAACCTGGAGCGCGGCCAGATGGCTGGACGGGGTTCCCCCCCTTTACTTGCACATGAGTGGTTCTGGGGCGTCCCATGGGTTTCAGAACGACAGGCCCTACAACTACATGCGGCCAACACGTTACTGCAGAACCTTGTGTTCTTCCTGGGTTGCCGCATGGTGGCGGGGACCTCTGGGTGGATCGAACATCCCCTCCCGGCCCACTGGAGGCCAGAGGCCCCCAGTAGCTTCCACTGGGGGCCCCTCGATGCCCTAGCTTCAGCGCCCGACTTTGATCAATGCACGTTGCAGCCAGCAGATCGAGACCCAGCGGAATTGGGCAGAGCTCCCACGCGTCTTCTCGGACTGAGGATGCCATGTTTGCGACGACGCCTGTGCGACGGGCCAGGCAATGGCTGGTGCCACCACGGGAGAGGAGTGCACAAAGTACTGCAGGGGAAGGAACATGTTGGAGGACGCACGGTCTTTAAGACGCATGTTCAGAAAACATAGCCTGAGGAGATGCGCGCGCGTTTAGCTGCAGCCGTTGCGGCCTTCATGCAAAATATTTATGCAGATGCTGACAACGATGATCAGCAATTTGACGATGGCGCACTGTGCGCCGACTCACGCAAGTTTTACCTGCCAGAGATAGGTGCGGACTTCGAGGCGGCACCAGATTTTGCAGGAGGAACGACCAAGATGCAGAGAGCTGACCCAGAGATGCACAGGTTCCAGGACGATCCCAATGAGACTCCCGAGGGCCCCATATGTGCTCCGACTCCAGCTCCCGCCCCAGCTCCGACTCCAGCTCCTGACAGCCCCAGCATGAATATTCCCATGCATGAGCCAGGATCGGATGAGGAGCTAGAGACTGAGAATTTCCTGGGGCTTTGCCCCTCCCTCCCCGTCTCTCCCCCGCTGCCGCCTCCGCCGCTGCCGCCCCCCCCGCCCTTCGCCCTCGCCCAGCTGGAGCGCATCGCTGCCAACAGGGCAGAGGCAGCGAGGAGGCGCGAGGCCCGACGGGAGGCTGCACACCAAAGGCGTGCCCTCTGGCGAGGCACGCTCAACTTCGCCGCCTACTACAAGGACGGACCCGCCTTGCGCCCCCCCCCCCCCCCCCCTTCTTACAGAACGGGAGGTGTAGGCGCGAGGTCTTAGAGATGAACGCGGACCCAGGTCCCATGTCCCCGTCCCCCCTCCCCCCCCCTCCCTCCCCCCTCCCTCCCCCTCCCTCCTCTCGCCCTCCCCTCTCTCTCTTCTCCCTCCCAACGACGGCCCAAGGCCCCCCTTGCCTTTCCGCCCCGCTCTTCCCAAGGCCGCCCTCACCATCCTCGGCAAGCACCACGGCGAGGGCGTCTTCCAGCAGTTCTCGCCGCTCTCGCTGCTGCCCGCCCCACGGCGGCCCCGATCGCGCGCGGTCTGGGCGTGCTCGCGGCCAGGCCCGCCGCGACCGTTTTTGCGCGCCGTGGACAGGATCACGGAGGAAACTCGTCTCGGGAAAGCCGCGATGTGGTAAACAAAACGATCGAAAACGAACAAAAAGGGTGTACGGTGGAGGCCCATGCCAAGACACGCCTTGCTTGCTTCCAGGGTGCCCATGTTCCTTGGGTTTCGATGGATTTGCTGTGGAAGGCGTGACGTTCCCACACCAAGAATCGACGGACGTCCTGGGGTCTCAGGGTCGGGTTTCTTGTGGAAGGTTTCTTGTGGACTGGCCTCCACTGCAAGCGTGAGCGTTCGAGGCTCCGCGTGGAGTTCTCGGGTCGGCGCCGGGCCCCTGGAGCGCTCCGCCAGCGCCGATCCAGGAAGTCCGCGCGGAGCGACAAGAGTGTGTGTCTACAGTCAAGCTGCATAGCAAGGATGAGCAGACTTCCACGGCTACCCTCGCGTCCGTGCCCCCTGTGCCAATCCTGAGCGACTGGTGCTGGCCAACCTCGTTCGAGAAACGTTAGCATGGCCCTCCAAGGCCCTTGCATCTTTACCGCGCGTCCTTATTATACGGATTGACCCTAAGCGATATGTTGTGATATGATTTTCGTAGTTATTTCGTGCCAGTGCGCCGTCTAGGTGCGGCTTCGTGTGTGTGTGTGTGTGAGAGAGAGATATGTTTTGATAATATTTTCGCAGGTTTTTCGAGGCTTCCAGCCTCGGGATGACCCCCTGCAGCTGCCCGTCGCCGAGGGCCTTCCGGGGTTGCCCCGTCTCTTCCCGAGCCGCCGCCAGAGACCTGAGTTACGACCCGACAGCCGGACAGACTGCACCACCTAGCTTTGCGCCTAAAGTTACCCCGCGTGGTGAGGATGAACGACTTTCCAAGGTTACCCTTGCATCCTTCCCCGTCGGCCTATCCTTGGCCGCTTTCGCTGGCCGCGCCTTGCTCGCAAAATGCTGACACGGCCTTCCAAGGTCCTTGCATCCTTATCGGGCGCCCTTATGATACGGGTTGACTGTAACAGGTCACACATCTGGAGTGCAAGGACTCACTGTTCGGGGCCCCTGTGCCCGCAAACGCATTTTTTCAGAGGCTTCGATCGGAGGTGCTGGAAGCGGCCCTTGCCCAAGGAGCCTGCACATTTCCCAGGGAGGCCTAGATGGCTTCCAGATCACCCCTCACGAGGCCCAGAGGGCCCCAGGGGCTCCCGAACGGGGGCGACATGCTGGGAGCACCTTGGGCCAGGACCACTTCCAGCAACTCCCGATGAGAGCTGCGCTGACTCGCCCCCTTAAACAGGCGACGCGCGCGGCGAGACATCTTGCAGTAGACGCTCGGTGGCGGGCGCTTTCTGGCCATGCCGCTCGGGAAGTGGTATGCTACAATCTGTTTGTGCTACATGTTCAGGTCGGACGCACGCCTCGGAGGACACACAGTACTAGTGCCCACAGGTCGCTTAAGGCAGGTTTTGGGATGCCCAGATCCTCAAGAGTCGAGCGGTTGTACCTCTTCCCTCCTCTTCAGGGGGCGGGCGGAAGTCCATTCTGCTTTCGGCGCCTTTCTGCCTCATGCTTCTGCCGACTCCTTCCGGCCGGCGTGCACGTCCCTCCTGCGTGCCACTGGACGTGCCCACCTCTTCCCTCCGCTTCGGGGGGCGGGCGGAAGTCCACTGTGCTCTCAGCGCCTTCCTGCTTCGTGCTTCTACCTACTCCTTCCGGCCGGAGGCAGCGGAGGAGAGCGTGCGCAGCGGCAGCGGTTCTTCGAGCGTGCTTTGGTGGGCGGCTCCCTCGCGCCTGCCCACCCCCTCCGCCCCCGCGGGGCCCTCGCACTGGCGGCTAACTTCGCAACGGCGGGCCCCCCGGATGCACGTCCGTCTACGTCCCACTGGACGTGCCCGCCTCCCCGCCGTGCGCGTCCCACTCGGGCTCTTGCAGGCCCTCTGGCGCGCGAAGGCGGCCGCCGGAGGCGCGCGGGGTGGCGTTTGCTAACGGCGCGGCCGTCAGGGTCAGATGGGCTCGGGGTGGAGAGATCAGGAGGCGGAGGAGGCGGAGGAGGAGAAGGGGGAGGGGGAGGAGGAGGAGGAGGAGGGGGAGGGGGAGGAGGAGGAGGAGGAGGAGGAGGAGGAGGAGGAGGAGGAGGAGGAGGAGGAGGAGGGAGGGGGAGGAGGAGGAGGAGGAGGAGGAGGAGGAGGAGGAGGACGAGGAGGAGGAGGAGGAGGAGAAGTTACTTCTGAGCCCTGACCCCACGAAAGCGTCCAGAAGCCTTTCTGAAGCAGGTGCTCGGGCGTTTTCGTGGGGCCTCGGCGTTTGTCCAGCCTCGCGATGCTTCCAGCAGCTGCTCTCTGCCGAGAGCGTTCCTGGGGTGCAGGCATTCTGCCGAGAGGCCGCCAGAGGCCCGAGTGACGCGGAAGGTCAGGGGCAACGCTAGGGTGGGATGTGCTTAGGTCAGGCGATCGCGAGCATGGATCCAGGGGGCGTGGATTAGCGACGGGCCCCGTTTCCGCGGGAAGTGGCGGATCTCCGCCGCCGAGCGAGGCGGCGCTGGCCGCATTCTGGGGAGGGCACCTCCCCCGATCCGCGGATCAGGCGGCCGCGCGCCGAATCCACGGGTCGCGAATCCGTGCTTGCGCGCCCCCGGTGAGGGGGGAGGGCACCGCCCCCCCTCGGGGCCCACCCCTCTCCGCCGGGGGGCCCCGGCGGCCCACCCCGCCCAGGACCCCTGCGGTTTCGCCGTCGGGGGCCCGCCGCCGATGCGTCGGCGACGCGTCGCCGACGGAAGCCCGATGCGTCTCCCCCTGAGCCAGTGCGCTCTTGCTGTTTCCCCTCAGGCCGCGGGCCTCCTCCTCCTCCTCCTCCGCCCTCCTCCTCCGCCCTCCTCCTCCTCCTCCCTCCTCCTCCCTCCTCCTCCTCCTCCTCCTCCTCCTCCTCCTCCTCCTCCTCCTCCTTGCCCCTCGTGGTCGCGCGCGCTCCTAGTCGCAGCGTGCCGCAGGGCAGTGCCTTTGGGAGGAGGTCGTTTCGCTGGGGCCACGCCCCAACAGCGCAGCTCTGGAGCGGCCAGGGATCAGCGACTGGAGGGGTCGAACGAGGTACGCGTGAGGGATCTCGGTTCGAGAGGTTGCCCTGGTGCGCAGGAGTCGACCTATCATTGCTTTTGCTTGGGCGAGCGTGCGCGGAGGCGCTTCGAATGCTGCGAGCGTGCCCAGCGAGCTACGGCGAGCCGCCGCACCTCCTGGTGAAAGCCGTCGGAGCGGGACCCAGGAGACCGCCCGATCTTCGGCGCGGCGCCACGAGCAGGAACAGAGTCCTTCGTCGGAGAGCGCGGGGAGTGGCAGGGAAATCAGCGGGGATGCGTGCTGTGCTGTGGCACGGCGGTTTTCACGGCAGCCGCGCAGTCTCGCGCAGAAATCGGAAGAGCCGCGACACGCTGGCACAGGAAGCGTGTAGCGGAGGTGTGAGAATCAACCTCGGGGATCGGACTGCTGCGCCATGGCCATTGTGATTGTGTGACCTCGCACGGCAGCCTTGGTACTCTCGTATGCCAGGCGCGCGTTTGACGCGGCCACGACGTGAATTAGAATCGCATCTCACTCAAGTAGCGACGGGACTTTACCCTCCCCTCACTTGAAAAGGCGTCACCCCAACATCCTCCTCCTCCTCCTCCTCCTCCTCCTCCTCCTCCTCCTCCTCCTCCTCTTCCTCCTCCTCCTCCCCCCCTCTTCCTCCCCTTCCCCTTGCCGTCAACGCGGATCTCTTGGCTGGGCGCTGGGGCCCCCTGGCGGCGCGTCGGGCGCGCTCCTGGCGCGCTCCGCGCGCCAGGGAGGGGGGCCAGCGCAGATCCAAGAAATCCGCGCGGACTGTCGAAAGTTTATGCTGATGCCGTTTTTCTTTCTTCAATGGGAGGCGCAAACACATATTAGTATTATGTGTCCTCCTTGGAGGCGCGCGTCCGACCCGAGCATATAGTATACCCGTGCTGTAGGAGGTCGTTTCCTGAGCAGTGTGGCCAGAAAACGCCCGTCACGACGAATATACTATAAGATTTCTCGGTGCGTGCGTCGCCCGCGTCCCCGCTCGAACGGAAGCCCCCTTCGGGGTCCCACACCCCGCGCCCGTACTTGCAGCGCGCCCTGAATTCGCGAGGCGCGCATCGACACACCCTATGGGTATGAGGGTGTGTTGTGCCCGATCATAATGCTCCCCCTTGCCTCCAAATCTTCCCCCTCCTCCTCCTCTTTCTCCTCTTCCTCCTCTTCCTCCTCCTCCTCCTCTTCCTCCTCTTTCCTCCCCCTCCGTCTCCTCATCAGCAGCACATGGGTGTGAAAAAGGGTTTTCTGATTGCGTTGGAGTCCAGCGTTTTTTTTGTTCCCCCCCCTGGCGGTACCAGGTCCATTTTACACGCGTCGGCGGACAAAACACAACTCAGCACCGTGTGAAGAGATGGGCGGGACGGGTCGGGCGTCAGATCTGGCGCGAGCGCGCCTGGGTTGCCTTTTTCCTCCCGCTTCTCTCCTCCTCTGCGCCCTCGCGCCCGCCCCCTTGGCGGGGCGGGAGGGGGGGGCGCCGCGCCTGAGGTCCGTGGGCGGCAGGGACGAGCCCTGGACCGCGGCGCACGACAGGGCCACGGTCGGGCGCGCGCTGGACCGGGGAGGGGCGGCGGCGAGGAGGAGGGGGAGGAGGAGGAGGAGGAGGAGGAGGAAAGAGAGGGGGCGGATGAAGAGGAGGAGGGGGACGAGGAGGGGGAAGAGGAAGAGTGTAAACGCAAGATTCACCAACGATGTTGGAATACACCATCCCTCCAATATTCCTCTTCACAGGCCCCTACAAGGGTTCATTTCGAGTGGGGGACGGACTTGCCCCAATGGGTGACAAACGTGTGAACATTTCGAAGCGTGCAATAACACTGGTCTCGGGACTTCAACACCACGAATTGTCCTGATTGTTACGTCTTGGCGATCCTAAGTCGTGCCAGCACAATATGCCTGGGACGTCAACGCCGCGAATCAACGTAACTGTCGCGCCCTGACAATCCTGAATTGTTCTAGAACGCAGTTCCTGTTACGTTATCAATCAGAGCCAGTGAAACCCTTGCAACTGTTTAGAACGAATGTGCGTGACGATAGGACGAGAGCCATATTTTGAAAATGAGCCGCCCTCAATTTGTGAAACCCTTGCGAATGTTTGAAACGAATGTGCGCGACGCTTATGCGAGCGACACATTTTTAAAACGACCCGCCGTCAACCCGTGAAGCTTTTGCAATTGTTCAAGCGAATGTGCGCGGCGCTAAACCGAGAGCCACATTTTGACCGCGACCCTGTCTTCAATCCGCCAAGCCCTTGCAAACTTTGCGAACCAATGTGCGCGGCGCTGGGGCGAGAGCCACATTTAGAAAACGACATGTCTTCAATCCGTTTCAACCCTAACAATTCTTATACCGAGTGTTCGCAACGCTAAAGCGAAAACCGCATTTTGAAAACGACCCGCCCTCAATCCGTGTGCGCAGCGCTGAGGCGAGAGCCACATTTTGAAAACTACCCGCCCTCAATCCGTTACGCTCTGGCGAATGTTTCAAACGAAAGTGCGCGGCGCCCAGACGAGAGCCACATTTTGAAAACCACCCGCCCGCGGAGTCTGCGAGTCTGCGGGCGGTGCGGTCTGCAGGAGGAGGGGGCGGGGGGGAGGAGGAGGACCAGAGCAATCATTGGATGTGTCAACGAAGCTGCAATGTACCCTTCCGGCCCTAGTGTCCTCCACATCAGCACCTGCAGTGACTATGTCAAGTTGTCCGATGGACTTTCAAGACGAATGTGCGCGGCGCTACGGCGAGAGCAACATTTCGAAAGCAGCCTGCCCTCTAAGTTTG